GATTAATGAGCAGCGAGTGTGTACAGCATGGATATTCTGGACAAAGGGATGATTCATGTCCTGATGGGTCAGAGCAGGTTGGTATGAGATGCCATGGTGCTACCCAGAATGGTGTGTGATTTAAAACTTAATGTCTTAATTCTGGAATTTCCTCTTTAATATGTTCAGATAAGTGCAACTGTAGAAAGGGAAACCTTGGGTGAAGGGGGACTACTGTAGCTTGGAGGACTTGCAAGGTCAAAGGACCAAACACTCAAGCAAATATCTAATATCATATCCATACTAGTAAGAATTTGAGACCAACTTAAATCCACATATTGTAACCGAGTCTTATGTAATGTACTAATTACCATCTCTATCTGGCTAATTTGATAATTTTCTGACAACAGACCAGCCATGTTAGCCTTCTAACTCACTGTCTTCTATGGTGAGGGCTGTGTTGAAAATTCCCTGCGGAGTGTGGTTGTGACTTAGGTCTCCTTCAGAGCCCTTGTTCTTCTGACTGACTATGCAAAGAGTCCTCCCTGGTGTGTTTGCTTTGTTGAAAGTCATCATCCACAGGAGTGTTTCTGAATGACCACTTCAGTAATTTTTAAATGCACTTGCAACTTGTTAACTTGGGGAACTTTCCCGAAGACAGAAAGCAAGTTCTAATGCTTCTTACTAGGTTGTAAATCTGAAAACTGCAGCAAGTTGAAACAACCTTGCTTTGAAAATGTATATTACTATTTTAGAGGATGGCAAAGTGGTCCTTGTTTTTAGTTTTGTCTGCCTTTGTTTTATATTATCGGCAACTCTCCTGAAAAACTTTGTTTTTCTTTCCAGTTTTGTATAAGTCTATAATACTTATTATCCATTTGATTACCTTTGCATTAAGTCTGACCCTTTAGCTTTAGCTTCCATTAATAAGCTTTGTTTCTACTATCCAAATTATGAACATACACTCTACTCGGTACTCCTACACTATGCTAAGTTGAACATTGACATTTCTTGAGCTCTCACTACACATTGAATGTCATTGTAATGATATGCCCTAACTCAGTTGCCACAACAACCCTATGATTTAGTTTTTTAGTGTTATTCCCATTTTATGGAAAAGGAAATCAAGTGTCAGGGAAATTAAGTAACTTTCATAGCTACTAAAGGAGGAAAGTAGGATTCAAATGAAGACCCATCCGGTTCCAAAGCTTCATGTGATGATTCCATATGCCAGACAGACTGACCCTTTCTGGCTGGAAATCTACAATTCTTCAGTCAAAAACGGTGTTTGGAGAATACAATTGGAGACCCAGAAATTAAAGAGAAATTCAATTTGGAGACCCAGAAATTAAAGAGAAATAGCGAATCTAGTCCCATTTTTTATATTTTTTGTCTGTTCTTCTAGATCAGTGGTTGGCAAACTGCGACTCGTGAGCCAAATTTGGCTCTTTGGCCCCTTGAGTGTGGCTCTTCCACAAAATACCATGTGCAGGTGCGCATGTACAGTGCGACTGAAACTTCGTGGCCCATGCGCAGAAGTCGGTTTTCAGCTCTCAAAAGAAATTTCAATCATTGTACTGTTGATATTTGGCTCTGTTGACTAATGAGTTTGCTGACCACTGCTCTAGATAGCCCTGAACTTGTTATTTTTTTTTTTCCTGTTATAAGAAATGCTATTTCTGTTTAAGTGCTCCTGGATTTGGAAATAATTCTCATGACTAATATTTGTTTGCCTGGGAAGAGCCAGTGTAGAGCTATGCTGCCAGTGGGTGCTCAGTGAAGATTAATGGATGGCCGTGCACGTCTGTGTGGGAGTCGGCTGCTTAAAATATGCTCAGTTCTCCGAAAGAGACAGAAATGGTGTAGGAAGATGAAATCAAAGGATCGTCACCCAACCCAGCTCCTGGAGTTTTGTACTGGACTTTATCACTTAAGGGTCTCAAAGGCCAGGGAATGTGGGGCCTGGTGTTTTCTTGATAAATTATCAGGAAGTGCGGTGAAGAAAAATTAGATACTAAGACCTACTTCCAAAATTAATACTATCAAATATGAGAGAGAGCTTGGTTCTCTGGCAAGGACTGAAGAAAATCAAATACTTTTTTAATTGACACATTTTCTATTATTATATACATGCAAAGATGATGAGTAATATGCCATATCAGATGGTTTATTCAAATTGTCAGAATCAGGGCTCAAGTGTGAGTAACTTTCCAGAGAACCTTCTGAGAAACTTAAGCCGTAGAAAGTGGCAGTACCTAGCCACACTATTCAGTCACCTCTGAAAACCTTGGAATGGGGGAAAAGTTACTTCCAAAGTACATGGTGGGACATTTCTAGAGAAAAAAGAAGGAGACCAATAATTTAAACCTCACTAAAAAAAACAAATGTCCATGCACTGCCTGGGTTTGTGCATTCAACTGAAAGACTGGGTCAGTCCTATGACTTGGGAAATGGAATCTTCACTGAGTGATTACTACTGAGCACCTTTCCAAACCTTGGCAGAACTGTGAGATGTTAGAGCCCTCACTTGCAAAATCAACCTTTGCTTTGGCATCAGAGAAAATGGAAAGAGGAAAGGCTCAATTACTGGGACCGGTGCCATAGGTCTTGGGCTGGGTTGGGATGTGCCAAAACCACCCACGGTGTACAGGAAGTGCACTGGCTGCCTTGGAAATGCTGTGGGTTTGTTCCAAGACCACAGTAAAGTGGATATCATAATAAAGTGAGTCACATGAATTCCTAGATTTCCCAGTGCATACGAAAGTTATGTTTATACCATGCTGTAGTCTATTAACTGTGCATTAATATATTAAAAAAACTCAATATACATACCTTAATTAAAAATACTGTATTAAAATACTGTATTAAAAATACTGTATTGCTAGAGCATGCTAACCTTTAACTTTATTGAGTCACAGTCTTTTCCCTGGTGATTGCCGCAAACCTTCAATGTGTACAAAACTCAGTATCTGTAAAGCTCAGTAACAGGAGGTGTGCCATACCGGCATTGGATGGCGGGACTTTGCTCTGAGCTCGGTCTCAGTCTCACCATTTGCAAAGTGAGCAGGTGGAGACTGGCTTGCGAGGGTCCTTACCAATTGTACTATTTTATGTTATCCTAGGGTGGGGGAGAAAGTTACTTTCCAAAGTGCATGGTTTCTCTATGAGATGAGCATTCTTCAAAGAGGAAACTCCATGTATCTTGAGATTTTTTTTATGAGAATTTATTTATACAATCCTACCTTTAGAAAACTCGATTTTATCCCCCACTGAACCCTTTTTAGCAATAAAGAGATCTCATGAAGTTTGATAATTTGGTGGTATCAGAGAACAGTTCATATCATTAACTCACTGCTCTCCATTGCTGACACTTCACTTTTTACTACCTTGTCCTCCAAAAGGAAGGTGACTTTTGAGAAGCAACCAGAACATGTGTTAGGAAAATAGGTATTGTGTCCAGGACAGAACTTAACTGTACCTGCTGCTTGAACATCCCGAAAATGAGGTAGCTCACGTGAATTGAAATATTCTGAAATACATGTATAATTATACCCAAGACATAGACACACATTCATAAATAATAAAAGTGAAAGGTCGGAGAAGTGGGAAGGAATATTTCCCAGCAGCAGGAGTGTCTCATCAGCCAGGCGGAGGTGCTGTGGAGACCTGGGCCAGGCTTAGCCCCACGGCCCGGCACTCACAGATGCTTCTCCCAGGAATGACCCGCAGGAACCGCTGACATTTCTTTTAAAAGAATAAATGAGTCTTTGTTTCCTTCTGCCTGCTCATTTGACCTTATTTAGTTTGAAAGCTGGAAAGAAAGAGTGACACCAGGAGGGTGGGGTCAGGGTGGCAGAAGAACCAGGGAAGGAGGCGTCCACGCTGTGGAGCCCACAGACAAGACCGCCTCCCAGGGTGTTAGTGTCTTGTTTGGCTGCTGTAGTCTTATTTGTTCCTGCTTCTCATTTCACATTCTCTCCCTGATGTAATAAATCTCCATCCTCCCAGCCATCATCCCCATATTGACAAGCAAATGTCATCTGTGTTTGATTGGCATCCATTGCTCCTGAATGCAAAAGTATGATTTACGAATCAATTCTACTTGTTTATTTCAAGCCGTTCTTGTGTGTCCTGTGTTGATGGGATAACTTGCCTAATATCCACTCCTGGGCTTTCAACTGATATTATAAATCCAGGCTGCTCCTTCTCCTGCTCTCTCATGGCATAGGGCTCTTCCTTCTCATATATATATATATATTTTTCTATTTCCCTCATCTCCCATGTACTGGCAGGAAATGTGCTATGGGGCTTATAGGACTTTTTCCATGTCTTTGAAAAAAAATCTTGCCCAGTACTTTAGTAAATGCTACTGAGACTTTTGAAGTCATTTTGACCAGTGATCATTTCTCATGCATGTAACACCTTCAGGCCTAATGGTGGTATCTCCTGCAAGACTGCGGGAATTGTAAGTAGAGCATGTATGTATACAGTCACCATTGGCAACACTTTTAAAAAGAAACGATCCCTCCTCCCTTTGTCTGGTGGGTGCGTTCACTTAAAATAATTGAGAAATGTCCTTTGGCTTTTCAACACACCTTACTGTTCTCCAAGTAACATCTCATATTCCATTTTAGAAGACTGGTGAGGAAAACCATCAGGTTAAACCACACACACACACACACACACACACACACACACACACACACCTACCATCTGGACAATTCTAAAAGGCCCTCCTTGTGTTAAAAGTGGCCTTTTTAAAAACACCTGAAGCACTGACTGTGGGTAAAAAATATTGTCAACCTAGCCACCCTCCTTTCAACCTTCTCCACCATCTTCTGATTGGGGCTGCTGGCGCAGTGACACAGGGGGCTGAGGTGTGACCCTTGAGTTCTGAAGGCTATTACAGGTCTGTCTGACGTCCAGTGAGAGCGCTGCCATCTCTGGGTTCAGCAAGGGAGTATTCAGGATCTCACTGTTCAGTCCTGTGCGGAGGGGGGCGGGGGGGAGAGAAACCGAAAAAAAAAAAAATTCCCACATTGTCAGAGTAATGCCAAACTCTGCCTGAGTGGGATGAGCGGAGCAGATGCTGCAGTGAGATGCCAAAGCGGCTCCCCTTCCTCTGCGCCTTGGGTGCCTATAAATTGCTCCCGCGCGTTTCCAGCCTCCTCTTCTGCTGGCAGGTGGTACCCGGGCAGAAGTCTACGCTCAGTCTCTCTCTCTCCCTCGGCTCCCGGCCGCGAGGCACTCGCTGCTGCTGCTCCTTAGCTCCTCTCCAGCTCCTGCGCTCCGGCCCCAGCCGCACTGAGCCACCGCGCCTGCCCTTCGGAGCCCCGGGGAGCCGCTGGCCGGCTCGCGCGCCCTGCGCGGGCCTTGGAGGGCGCGCAGCTATTAGAGTAGCGGTGGTTGCAAAGAAAGAAGAAGGGAAAAAAAGCAGGGGAAGAGCGAGCGAGAGAAGAGGAGAAAAGAAGAGGCAGAAAAAGGCAACTTCGCAGGGAAAGTTGGTGCGAACTGGCGCAGTCTGCAAAAACGGAAAAGTCGATCGCGGGCGGAGGCATAAAAGTGTGAGCGGCCCGGCGGGCGCGGCGGCGGCGGCTGCTCTGCCCTCCCGGCGGCGGGCGGCGGCAGCCACAGGTGCGAAGGGGCTGGAAGGAGAGAGAGAGACAGGAGGGCGCCCTGCGCACCCCTCCCCCCGCCTCCGCCCCCCGGCTCGGGACTTTGGCTCAAGTCACTAGGCGTCCGAGCGCCCTCCCCGGCCGCAGCCTCGCGGGGGGAGCGAGCGGGAGCAGCAGCCTCGGAGCGGCCCGCGCCGCCCGCCCGCCCGGGGGAGTTGGGGCTCGCAGGGGGTTGTTTTCGGCTCTGAAGAGGTCCCCGCCCAACCATCAAAATTTTGTCCAAAAGCAGGCAAGAGGATCGCCCCGCGCTGAGCCGGCTGGTGGGCAGCAGGAGGCGCCTGATCGCCGCCGGGGCGCTGGGGGTGGTGATGGTGCTGCTGCTGGTCATCCTCATCCCGGTGCTGGTGAGCTCGGCGGGCACGTCGGCGCACTACGAGATGCTGGGCACCTGCCGCATGGTCTGCGACCCCTACGGGGGCACCAAGGCGCCCAGCACGGCCGCCACGCCCGACCGCGGCCTCATGCAGTCCCTGCCCACCTTCATCCAGGGCCCCAAAGGCGAGGCGGGCAGGCCCGGCAAGGCGGGCCCGCGGGGGCCCCCCGGCGAGCCCGGGCCGCCGGGCCCCGTGGGTCCGCCGGGCGAGAAGGGCGAGCCGGGCCGCCAGGGCTTGCCGGGCCCGCCCGGGGCGCCCGGCCTGAACGCGGCGGGGGCCATCAGCGCGGCCACCTACAGCACGGTGCCCAAGATCGCCTTCTACGCCGGCCTCAAGCGGCAGCACGAGGGCTACGAGGTGCTCAAGTTCGACGACGTGGTCACCAACCTGGGCAACCACTACGACCCCACCACGGGCAAGTTCACCTGCTCCATCCCGGGCATCTACTTCTTCACCTACCACGTCCTGATGCGCGGCGGGGACGGCACCAGCATGTGGGCCGACCTCTGCAAGAACAACCAGGTGGGCGCGGGCGGGAGGCGGGCGGGCGGGCAGGAGCGCGGCCAGGGGCGGAGGAGAGGGAGGGAGCAGACCCCGGACATGGGTGGGGACCCGCGGAGACTGGGCGCCGCCGCGGCTCAGGGCTCCCGGAGCAAAGCTTAGGAGTGCGCTGCTCCACTCGGGGGACTCGGGGATTCGGAGTCCGAAGACAGAGGGGGACTCCCAGCGGCCCCGGGAGGGCGGTTTGGTCTGGGACCCGCACTCTGTGCTGACACCCAGCCTGAACCGGCGCGACCCTCGAGGGGCGGTAAGGGGAGCGGGGAGTCCGGAGCAGCAGTAAGTCCGGACCCAGGCGGTGGGGTCCTTGCGCACACGCTTTGGCGGGAATGGGAGGGCTGGGGGAGTCCAGGACCAGCGTGTCAGGGCGATCAGCCTGCACCGGGGAGGAAGACAAAGGGCCGAGGGAGAAGGAAGGGTCTCCCTGGAGCGAGTTGAAGCCAGACCCTGAGACCTGCAGCGTCCCAGAACGGGAAACACAAGTGGTCAAACCCCACTTTAGTTTTCAGCCAAGGAGAAGAAGGGGGAGAGGTAATGAGTGCTGGTAACAGAAGAAAGAGTTGAGATTCATGATTTAACACCGTAAAATAGGATCCCAAACGCACAGCCCAAACTCCACTTCCTGGACTGGGTCCTAGGACACACAGGCCAGTGGAAGAGGGCAGAAGAGGAGCCCAGGCAGAGACTATGGGTCTTGGCCAGCAAGCCCCAGGGCACCTGCTTGAAGGTCTTTCCAACCCCAGCCTTCCAGCTCACTGGGGCAGTGGCCTTGACCTCAACTGTGCAATAGCCCCCAATTAGCCCTGGGTCAGGAGGGCTTGCTCTCCTGAGCTGGCTGGCGCTACCCCAAGGGCCACATGGTTGCAGTTTTATAATGGGGCAACTTTTCCGTTTGCTTGAGAAATTCGCAGTCACTGCAAAACCCAAATGTGTCTTATCTCTTAGTCAGGAGAGGAAAATAATACCTGTAACTGCCTGAAAGTGGAATCAGACCCTCTGCACATGTTGAATCAGTGAGCATGCAGTTTGGACAGAGCTCATGGGCTGTGACCATGTTTATTGGGTGGTATGGTGAATGACCCCTGATCCTGCCATGGCCAACTTTGATCTAACAAGGTCTGTGGGGTTTGGCTACTTGCCCCCCTGAATTCAGACCTTTTAAACTATAACCCAGGCTTCTATCAAGCAGCATTGAAGCTGGAGTACTTCCAAAAAACCAAGTCATTGTCAGAATTGTTTCAGAAACAAAAGACAAATATCCTAACTGTATAAGAGATAGAAAGGACAAAAATAATAATAATAATAATCTCATCCCTTCCCCTTTCTATCACCCCTCACTTCTAAACGAATTTAGAAGAAAATAGCTTGGATTCAGGACTCTGTAGAACAGCAACAACAAAAAAAGAAGTAATGGCCACCAGGAGGCACTGACAGGGTTGTTTATTATAGTTAGTATGCATGAAAATAATATTAAGCTAAATAAAAATTATTTGCAGAGCCATGGGATAGTTGCAGGTAAATGGCTCAAAAGGGCATGACTCATTGTACCAAGAGAGACCTGTGGTGCCACCCTTAGAAAGGTTCACAAACACCCTCAGCGGGCAGGGATGATGCGCCCACTTATTTACAAATTGGCTGTCTTCGAACTCAAAGGTTAAGTCTGGGAAATACTACCATGCGAAAGAGATTGTTTTTAGATGTTCATTAAACTGGAATAAGATTCAAGTTTAACCAGCCAATGTATAAAAGTGTTCACATCTTTAAATATCTGGAAACGACAATGGCATGAACAACTAGGGAACAATATATTTGAATTACTTTACATGTAGCTATCTAGACTGCTGGGCCCAGGAATGTCACACTGATTCCAAAACAAAAACAAAAAACAACATTCTACATATGTACGTTATGGGCATTTTGTTTTTAAATTATTTCATTGTTCAGAATGTAGAATGCCCCTTTGTGTCACCCTAGTGGGTACATTCTTTGAGGGTCAGGAAAAAGAACAAGGCAAGACGGCTGACCTTAATGGTATAATGCTTTCAATTGACATTATTAAGTTGCTGCTCTGCAAAGGTGTGCAACAAGTAATTGAGAAAATAAATATCACAGCAAACAATATATTTTTGAATTCAGGATGTGCTATTTTGGAAAATGGTTATTACAATGTTAGTGTTAAGGAATTTTATCTCTAGAATAGAAAGAACTCTTTTGCAAAGTCTAGTCTGCACACAGCTGCAGATGAAAAATTTTATAGCATCTTTATCAATATTGAATAAATAGTTTTTAATTATGCCCTTGTCTGATCACTTCTTAGAATGGCAGTTTCTTGTTCTAAACCTGAGCTGACCTAATCTGTTTCCAAAAAACAGAAACTCAGAGACCCATGTCAGTGTAATGCTCTGTGGGATAGTGGGTTAGAGAAACACAAAAATTGAAGTAAAAATTCAGTTCACTCTAGGCTAGGGGAATGCCTCTGGGCCATCACCATTTGAGAAACGTTTATTTATGCTTTGTGTTAATGCACGGTCACAGATGGAAACATCAAAGGCCAGTAAATTAACCTGATGCGCCACTTAACCTTTTGTTTATGATTCCACAGAAGTACAATGAAAATGAAATTATGAGAGCATCAGTAGCAATTAATTAAATTAGCAAATGTTACCATAAATATTGTCTCTAATGATAAATCCTCACTAATATGATAATGCTAAAGCTACACAACCCATTACATTCTTACAAACATGCAACTAAAAGCATCATGGTTCTCATATTTGAAATGAAACCATCAGCCTAAACTTAATCTTGCCATTTGTTGAGACCCCATGACAGTGCATATTAAAGGTAAAAATTGGACTTCAAATAGCTTTACATAGAGACAGGAAATATTTAATGTTTCAATGCTTTTAGCAGAAAAATCTGAATAAAAATATTGCGTTTGAATACAATCACTTTAATGCTACTATTAGCCACTATAATGAAAACTTAAACAGGCTCAAAATTAGAATTATAAAATAATTAAAGACCAATTTCTACTCTAAGAATTTATTTGTTATGGCACCATAACAAATAAGAGGTATATTGGGAACAGTGAATAGTGTGTGGGTTGATATTCATTTATTAGTGAGATTAAGAAATGCCAGATTAATTACCTATTTAGAGGTCACAAAAAAATGCACTAAAGATCAAGCAGAATCTAAATATTTAGCTTATAGTATGAAAAGATATTAGAGTACATTTAGATGGAAATGGATCTATTAAACTAAGGGAAAGGATGCATCCTATTCCTGGAGAAAATGCTAAAATCAGTGCAGATTTGGGAACCTGAAAATAGGCTCCAGGGTGGATGCATTACCTTCCTCAATGGTTTGATGGCTTAAATGAAGAACTGTTGGAAGTCACTGAGCTAGAGACTGGAGCTCGAGATTTCAAGTGCCATTATACCTTGAAAGTACAAGCTGGTGAGCAGGAGTACTAAAGCCATGCAAGTGCATGGGAGTGTGGCAGTTACCTACTTGGGAAAGTCTTACAGTGCGGAATAGGTTAAAATCTTAGAGAATCAATTTCATTAAAAAGCAAGCACCCTGGCTTTTTTTTTTTTTTCTTCCACAAAGGAAGTGAAAACTATAAGGATAACTTCTAGTCTGTGAGGGTCACACTAATATATTTATAGGTTTTTGTGGTTACCCCTACTGAATAAAAATGGTAATAATGACATGGGTTTGTGGTTGTACCCTGCAGAATAATAATGTGTAATGCAAACTGCATTATATAGATTTTTAAGATTATTGACTCTGAATAAGTGATTTTAATGAGTCCTGGTTCCCAAATGCCTTCATATAGAAAACAGTGTTAAAGCACAATACCCATGGAACATGTTGTAAATGCCTAAAACAGTAAATTGTGTTTCATTATTAATAATAGCTGAGAAGTATATTAGGGATGGTTAATATATTCCTAATATGGTTAATTACTATTTTCTATTTTAATTTTTCTCATCCATTAAAAATCCACACAAAAAAGATCAGGTCATAATCATGCTATCCTCCTTGTAGATTTTTTTCCCCCTGGGAATTAGTGGCTAAACAAAATTAACAAGTCAAAGAACTCAATTCCTACAAACTTATTATTAATTCCTAGGAAATATTATCAAAGAACTCAATTCCTACAAACTTATTATTAATTCCTAGGAAATATTATCACATTAATTTGCATTGTTATTTAATGGTCAAAACAGATTACCTCACTAAATTGGTGTATACATTTCTGTCAATGCTTGTGAGCATAATTGATAGTATATTGCTATTAGTGTCAGTACAGTGTTAAGGAATTCTAAGTCCTATAAGCCCTTTTCTCCTTTTGCTATATGATAGCCAAGAAGAAAATTTAAAATACTACTCAAATTATTTTATAAGTTCAGCGGTGTCAAAGAGCCTTCTTCTTCTTCTTTTTTTTTTTTTTTTTTTTTTTTTTTTTAACTTTTTAGCATTAATGTGAGAACATACCCCATGAAAATTTAATTTGAAAAATCTATCATTTACATTTTGAAAGAAATGCTTGGAAATTCTTGAATTATGTCTCACTTTCTTCATTTTGTCAAGTGATAAATTCTGGCATATTGTACCCCAAGTCATGCATTATTACATAGTGCAGTTTTACAAACCATTAAATCACTTGCTGTGTTGTTCTGAAAACTATCATTATAATGGAATAGAAACAAGCCCCAGAGTAGATGTTTTATTAAAATAAATAAAACACAAGTCTGCCTATTGAAAAAAATTTTCCAAGGCAGAATCAAAATCTAGCTAAATCCACATGAAGCCTAATGTGAGTGGAGGATGTGACAGAACGTCCATGCTACTTGATATGATAGGCAATTTGTGTGCAGATGTCTATCACTCACTGAGATCCCAAGCTCAACACGAGTGCATTTGTTTTAGAAGCAAGCAAAGCATACATTTAGATTCACCAAAATGAGAACATTCAAACATTCTAGCAATTTGAGAGACATCAAATCATGGACTTTGGTTCCTTCTATAATTTTAGATATGTTGAAATTAAATAATTTGTTTAATTTCACACATCACAATCAAGCGATAAAAAGGCACAAAAAGAAAAAAAAATCCTGAAAAGTTGGGTGAGATAGCCAAAGATGTTTAAAAGAGTTAAGCTTCTGGTAAAGGAGTCTTTACCGGCATTAAAATTTGAAAGCCCCAAATTAAATGGTTTCTTCCTGTTTCCTTCATATGCAGTGGAGTTAGAGCAGTGGTATTTCTCTGGCTCTTTACCTACTGTGGATCTCATGTTCAGTAATTGTGGGGACTAGAGCTGAAGTTTGGATTGCACTCATATGCTCATCAACAGCTGGTTAGAACATTGCTATTTGGGTAAATTAAAATGCTAGAATTTACTGTTATTTCCACTTCAAGAAGTGACTAGGCCTAGAGACATAAGAATTAGGAAAAGTAATGATTTACAAAGAGAATAAGTTGGAAGTTGGTATGCACTTATGACAGCCCGAAGTGAGGAAAGCCTGCCAGAATCACCCTCACAAAAGCACCCTTTCCTTCTTCCCAACCCTCCTTTTCAAGGACACAGTTGAAAGGATTGCAAAGATGCCCGCATAAAACTCCAAGGCTAAGGTGGGCATTTTTGTGTCAGTTCTCTGACTGCTATGGCAGCACGACAGCTTCTGTTGCTCTGTGAATGGCCTAAAAGAAAACTCAAAGATTCTCTTGGACGAATTCTAATTCTTATCTGTTTCTCATAGGTGCGGGCCAGTGCGATAGCCCAGGATGCTGATCAGAATTATGACTACGCCAGCAACAGTGTGGTTCTTCACTTGGAGCCTGGAGACGAGGTCTACATCAAACTAGATGGCGGGAAAGCCCATGGAGGAAACAACAACAAATACAGCACATTTTCTGGATTTATCATTTACGCTGACTGATAATGCAGGAATTCAGCTCATTGATCTGAGTCTGGACTCTGGATTCATATGGCTAACATCAGTGAATCAAGGATCCCAGGGGAATGCCAGTTGTGGGGCACCTCAGTTGTGTATATGTGGGGGAATTCAAATGCTACCTGACTCACATCTGCATTCTCAGAAACATTATGTAAAAAAATATTAAAAGCAAGATAAGCAGATGTGTGATCCACTACCGCCAAAGCAAATACTCCTTGTTATTAGTGTCCGTGTGAATGAAGTCCTATATAGATCACAAATTTTTATAGAAAAATCTAAGACACTGAATTATTTCTTCAATATATATGATACTTTGGTGTACTGTGATCCTGCTGCTCTTATCCATGTCAGCTTTGGTTCTTGTGAGTGTACCTGCTTATTATGATACTTGGATTCCATTCATAGTGTAGGAAGGAATAATTTTACCCTGCAGGAGGAGGTTAATCAAAATAATGCTGCTTGTCCCCAAAGAAATTATTTGCCTTGTACTCTTGTGAACTTTAGAGCTAGACCTGGGAATGATTCAACTTCAAGCCTTAACCTGGAATTTTCTGGATCTGACGGAATTCCCAAGCCTGTGGTTACTTTCCCATTTTCTTTTTCCTAAGCATTTTCTTTTTTCTCTTTAATGGTGATAGTCTTTTAAAGTAAAGATTGAAATTGTATCATAGGATTACCCTATAAGTGTGAAAATGTGTAATATGTATGGTATTTAGAAAATCCCCTATGTGTCCATTTTGTCACTAGAATGTGTTTAGATTTACTTGGAAAGTCAGAGAAATCTATTCTTTGATGTTAAATCAGACTGAGGCTTTTGCCTTCTTTGGAACAAAAGATTATTCATAACCCAATGCACAAAGGTTTAATTTGAGCTGCTGCATGCATCACCAAGGGATCGCTAAGTAAGGCTTTCAAATAGTAACTGACTAAAGTTGTGGCCTGAGGTTATTTCAAAATGAACAAATTCACATATAATGAGTATGACAACAAAGTGTATATATTTTATAGAAATACATACACACACACACACACACATACACACACGGCTTTAGATCATAGGTACAGTGACTGCTATAGCCTCAAATTTTAATTGAAAAAAATATATGTGTATGCGTGCGCACATGCACACACATACATTATTTGAATTATTTTGGATTGAAGTATATTTTGGAAGACAAAAATATATGGAATAGCAAAATAATTGAAAAAGCTTCTCTTTTAAGAGTTATCCAGAGAATTAAACTGTATTAGGTTAAAATGCTCTATCCATGACATGTCTGTAAATTAGCCTATGACTTCTCTGTTACCCTCTGCCAATCAATACTTCTTACTGCATTCTGTGGCAGACTGTTAACATTAGGACTGCTGAAACAAAGTGGCTCTCCTTTGTAATGTTTGTAAATTATACGCATTTAAATTACCAATTTTTCTTTTTTTTTTCCTCAGGTGGATTGAAGCTGACAGTAAAGTAGATTTTGTGAGTAATGGAAATCCTTTCTCTCTGTTTAAAATACACTACTGAAAGCCATCTCTTTAAAACTAAGAAAAAAATTAAAAATGCATGCTGATAGATCTGAACTATCAGACAACTTCTTCTATTACAATGAAAAATCTGTTCCCCTCTCAGCTGCCTTTTGAAGACTCTTTGACAAGTAGATTTCAAAAACAGATATTTAAAAATCTGCTTGTTTTACCGGTGAAGGATATTTGCATTTTCTTTTCACTTAAAGGAATTAGTTCATTCTCCTGGCTCTTTCCTCTTGGGTACTTTCTGTTCTAACACCCAAAAAGCTTGATCATCTTTGATCTGCAGACTATCTTTTATTTAGCAAACCTCAACTCCCCAAAAGAGCTATGCATCTGAAGGTACTGTTTGCTTAGTTTAAATGCCTTAGCCTGAGTAACTGTTGTGATTATGTGATTAAAAACACTTAGCCCATTCACTAAAAATAATGATTAGTTCCATTTGACTTTCCTAATATATAAGATAACTCAGAAAGGAGTTGCAATGAATTTTATTTCTATTTAACAACATATACTTATCAAAGAATTGGCAACAGGGTTTGTAGAATTTTTATTTAATTTTAGGTAACAGCACACTGAGAATTCAAACAAAAGATTAACTTATAAAAAGCAGTGCACATCAACTAAGAGTTTTCACTGAGTTTTTAAAAGGCTTTATTTACATAAACCATCAGGGCTGGATACCTTTTATTTTTATTTTATTTATTTATGTATATATGTATTTACTTATTGATTTATCTTGAAAGTATGTATTAAAGCTGAAATAAAGGAAACAAAGGAAGGGCTTCAAGTGGAAAAAGCAACAGGAGAACCTGGGCAGGGCTGCTTTAGCTCACTAAAATGTCAGAGAAAAGGGAGTCTTGGAGACATTCAGGGGGTGAGCTGGGGATGAGTTGCATCTATCCACTGCTCCCCTTGTTGCAAGTCTCATGGGGACCTTTAAAGTTTT